AGAAAAAAAAATCATTGAGTCAATCAAAGAAAAATATCAAGTTTGGAACCACATTCGCGACAGAGATTCCAAAAGTAAAATAGCTAAACTGATGCACATTATCCGAGTCACGGCCCAGCACTATTAAATCCAAGAATTGCCAGCAGCCCAAGACCATTTATCGAAAAATTAATTAATGTGTCCATTATCCGGGTATACGTATAGTATTTCAGTTTCTAAAAAGCTATTCAGATTTTAAAAATAACTCTTTCCACGCATAAAGGATTTCTCTGAACCGGAAAATCAATAAATTTCGTACGATATCCGAGTCACGGTTGAGCATTTTTCAAAGAAAAAAATCAAGAGCAGCCTCTTACTAAAAAAATTTTTTTTGGAGCCCGCTTTTTAGAAATAAATCTTGAAATTAGCAGTTCGTTTTTTTGAAATCAAAAATTTCTCTGAACCGCGAAAATTATTAAACGTCCGTTATCCGAGTCACGACCCAACTCTATGGGAAAAACAATTAGTGACAACCCGTGGCCACTGTACACAATTTTTTTTTATGTATGGCGCGCGTTATCCGAGTCACTCTTGTAATTCAATGCAGTACAGCATTAAAAAAAAAATCAATTTCGGCCCTGACCGCATCAAGGATTTCTCCGAACCGCCAAATGAATGAAAAACAATTGATTATGTTCAGAAGACACGAGACGCGTGGAGATGGTGCAATTCGCGGTTTGCCCGGAAGCTTATAAATAAACCCCCCACCCCCCTTCGAACTGGGTCCCCTGAAATAGAAAACGAGTTCTCCTCGCTTCCGTATATTCATTCTTGACCTTGCTCATCCGGTGAACAGGTCAGGTCACGTTCGGGGTATCCCGGATAAAAAAAAAGGAGTAACTAAAGTGGTTGGAAGTTTTCCAAGAAATATCAAGTTTCAATTTATGTGATGGTCAAGCTATAGTTGCTCGTAGAACGCCGCTCGAACTTATCCGGTATGCGAGTCAAAGCATCGCGTTTCCGTGTGATTTGTTGTTGTTGTTTGTTTTGGTTTTTTAGTGTACTTACTGTACTGTACTGTACTGTACTGTACTTGTTTTTGTCTTGGCAGAAGTGATGACAACATTTTCTGTTCGTAGTATGTGATGATAAACCGTAAGCCATCTCCGTCATTGTGCATATAAATCACAAAATAACTTGGTTTGCCGTTTTTTTTTGCGGGCCTGGGAATGATTTAATCCAGTGTTCCCAAACCCGTGGTCCGCAGAAGTTTTTTGCCGGTCTGCGGGAAATTTGCAACTTTATAAACTTATTAAAAGTAGCACTGAACTCTGTTATCATCATCAAAAACTTTGGAAAGACAGGCAATTGAAAGCATTTGATGAAACTTGAAACTTGGCTTTTATCCTAATAACAGTGCTTCAGACACTTTTTTTTAACTGCTGAAACAAATTATTTTAATTTTCAACTTTCTAAGTTTTTGATGGCGTTCAGCTATAGTTGCTTAGCTTAATTTTTGCAAGAAGCAGAAACTTTTATATACCTACCATAAAGTCTATCAACCAAAATGTTTTGCAGGCTTTAAAAATTGTTATGAAACTTTGCCGGTCTGCAGACAAGTTTTTGGGAATTTGCCGGTCCGCCAAAAATTTTATGGAAATTTTCCGGTCCGTGGGCACAAAAAGGTTGGGGAACACGGATATTTTAATCTAATGAAAAGGATCTGAAAAGAATCGCAATTGGTTTTTTTTTGTTGCACAGGCTGAGTTCATGTCTTCGTGGAATAATCAAAAAAATAGTAATGGGAATAGAGTCCGTAAAAGTTTTTGAAATTTCTGAAACATGAAAGAAAATGCGGAAGCGACCAATATTCAGCACGGATTAACTTGAATAACTAGTGGCTAACACTTGAAAGAAACATTTTACATTGAAAGTCATGCATTTGTCATGATGAGAATGAGAAACCATGTAGAATGAGTAGGACTCGATGTTAAGTACTTGCTTCCGAAATTCAGACTTTCAGTATCTTCATTTTATTCTTTGATAATTTTTACTTGGGACAGATTTGAAACTCGGACCGCTTCTGAAGGATGTTTCATTCGATTTAACGTTTGAGTGTTGCTAGGAATGAGCTGTTTATTATGAGGCTCTATTGAATAAGATATTTTGCCTCGGTATTTTGATTTTGGGTTAACTCCTTAATTGATGGTTAAACGCCTCGTCGTGACGAGAATACTGAGGATTGCAGAAATGTTCCAAACTCCTAAATCAGTTTATGAAGTCGCAACGCGGGGAAGCTCTTGCTTTTAATTTACGTTACTTGTCCTTTGAATCGCAGGACGTATTGTATAGTTTTTTATGCATCGCGCAATTTTGCTGTGACGACATTGTTTTTGTGGAAAATCCCTTTGCAAACTATGACTCCTTTAGCTCTTCACTACAAACTTAAGCACCTCCCGCGTCTACCCCTGCTACGCCGTATGCGAAATAGCGCCGACGATCAGTCCGTGGGTCGATGTCTGCTCAACCTCCAGCGACACCTAGACAAGCGAAAATGTTACATCGGCAGACGGTTCTTTTCGAGGACCACAGGGCTCGGGTCTCCACGTGAGTTGACGACCTTCCATTGCCAAGTACAGTACTGAACAGTACAATTTGCGATACTGCAGCATTTACCCAGCTTCGTTGAGAAGCAAATCACACTCGTTTTTTTTTAAAGTATTGAAAAACATGGTGTCGATCTAATTGATCTAATGATTAACTGTGTCATGAAATGTGCCAGACAGTCAGCAGCTTGCTACCAGCGAAGTATAAGGGAGTCTCTTCGAAGAATGCTCCGAACTGTATAGAAATTTGTCTACTGTATGCTTTTTTTCGTTTTTTTCCATTCCTATTTTCATGTTTGTGTTTGTATGTTGCTATTTTCAGATTTTTGAGTAATCACACGAACAATGATGAGCTCACGAGAATTTTCCTGATTGAGAAATTAAATTGATTCTTAGCTGTAATTTCAATGTATAGCAATGCACCATTTTCCAAAAATATATGGAAATCTGGTGGTCGCAACTTTAAATTTCAACTGATGATTGTCTTAGACAGAAAATTGGTTTGATGTTGTTTGAGTTACGCCAAGCTGAATGTATACTTTTTATAGCAGATTCATCAAGTGGACATCTGCGAAATTGCTTTGAGGAAAATCACGAAAAAATCTCGTGAGTGATGAAAATTCTATACACTATCTGGGTGTGCTAAAATACATTCATATTAGAAAACAAACAAAAAAATGCCCGCGATTTGAAATTATTTTCGGTAATCGAATATTTTTATGCTTTTCCACTCTGAGGGAAACCAGAAAAAAGCCCTCTGAAAAATGAAAAAAATTCTTCTGTCTCAAAAAAATGAGGACTCATTATGGCAACAATAGATCTCAAAAAGAATTTATTCGACATGCTTCTTCATGCTTGAAAATATTTAGAAGGGAGGAAAATCCTCTGTTCTTCATATTTTGAACTCATTTTGTCAATTGAATGAGGTTTTGGCAGCATGCAGGTGCGCATAATTTCAAATTACTGTATCAAATCTCATTAACATAATGTTGGAATCTTCTCAACTGAGTGTTTAAAATAAGACGGTGTCCAGAAATACGCTTATGTCTGCGTTTTCTGTCCGACTGAATGACGTCAGTGACGGAATGGAACAGCGTTAATTCATAACCTTCCAGCTCTTTTGAAGTGCGTGCCAAGAAAATAAATGCAGTGGCTCGACGCTGAAAAAAAAAACCTCGACAGGTTTGATTCACGATGTTGAGGACAGATTATTAAAAGTCTCACTGGAATTCTGAAGTTCAACGCAGTTCAAGAATCGGAGACCAAAATACCGCAGGAAAAGAGAAGCGACCCTGAAAAATCACTTANCTCCTTTTTTTTTTTTGCGGGCCTGGGAATGATTTAATCCAGTGTTCCCAAACCCGTGGTCCGCAGACGTTTTTTGCCGGTCTGCGGGGAATTTTCAGCGTAATAAACTTATTAAAAGTAGCACTGAACTCTGTAATCATCATCGAAAACTTTGGAAAGGCAGGCAATTGAAAGCATTTGATGAAACTTGAAACTTGGCTTTTATCCTAATAAAACATTACTTCAGACATTTTTTTTTAACTGCTGAAACAAATTATTTCAATTTTCAACTTTCTAAGTTTTTGATGGCGTTCAGCTATAGTTGCTTAGCTTAATTTTTGCAAGAAGCAGAAACTTTTATATACCTACCATAAAGTCTATCAACCAAAATGTTTTGCAGGCTGTAAAAATTGTTATGAAACTTTGCCGGTCTGCAGACAAGTTTTTGGGAATTTGCCGGTCCGCCAAAAATTTTATGGAAATTTTCCGGTCCGTGGGCACAAAAAGGTTGGGGAACGCGGATATTTTAATCTAATGAAAAGGATCTGAAAAGAATCGCAATGGGTTTTTTTTTGTTGCACAGGCTGAGCTCATGTCTTCGGGGAATAATTTTAAAAAATGGTAATGGGAAGAGTCCGTAAAATTTTTCGAAATTTCTGAAACATGAAAGAAAATGCGGAAGTGACCAATATTCAGCACGGATTAACTTGAATAACTAGTGGCTAACACTTGAAAGAAACATTTTACATTGAAAGTCATGCATTTGTCATTAGAATGAGAAACCATGTAGAATGAGTAGGACTCAATGTTAAGTACTTGCTTTCGAAATTCAGGCCTTCAGTACCTTCATTTTATTGTTTTTTTTTTTCTGGGACAGATTCGAAACTCGGAAGGATTTTTCGTTCGATTTAACGTTTGAGTGTTGCTCAGAATGAGCTGATTATTATGAGGCTTCATTGAATAAGATATTTTGCCTCGGTATTTTGATTTTGGGTTTACTCTTCAATTGATGTTTGAAAGGCTCGTCGTGACGAGAATACTGAGGATTCCAGAAAAGCTCCGAACTCCTAAATTTGCATTAGTTTATGAAGTCGCAACGCGGGGAAGCTCTTGCTTTTAATTTACGTTACTTGTCCTTTGAATCGCAGGACGTATTGTATAGTTTTTTATGCATCGCGCAATTTTGCTGTGACGACAGTGTTTTTGTGAAAAATTGGAAACGTTTGATACTGAGGAAATCGAGAAGTGATGTTTGAATTCGTGGAGGGCGCAGATGGGGACGATGCGGCATACGCTTTATCGCGGCTGCTAGTCAGGCACCCAGCTACAGACGAGTTGGAGGAGCGACACCTAGACAAGCGAAAATGTTACATCGGCAGACGGTTCTTTTCGAGGACCACAGGGCTCGGGTCTCCACGTGAGTTGACATTCCATTCCCAACTACAGTACTGATAAAAACAGTACAATTTACGACACTGCAGCATTTACCCAGCTTCGTTGAGAAGCAAATCACACTCGTTTTTTTTTTTCAAGTATTGAAAAACATGGTGTCGATCTAATTGATCTAATGATTAACTGTGTCATGAAATGTGCCAGACAGTCAGCAGCTTGCTACCAGCGAAGTATAAGGGAGCCTCTTCGAAGAATGCTCCGAACTGTATAGAAATTTGTCTACTGTATGCTTTTGTTGTTTTTTTTCCATTCCTATTTTCATGTTTGATTTTGTATGCTGCTGTTTTCAGCTTTTTGAGTAAATCACACGAACAATGATGAGCTCGAGAGAATTTTCCTGATGGAGAAATCAAATTGATTCTTAGCTGTAATTTCAATGTATAGCAATGCACCATTTTCCAAAAATATATGGAAATCTGATGGTCGCAACTTTAAATTTCTACTGATGAATGTCTTGGACAGAAAATTGGTTTGATGTTGCTTGAGTTACGTCAAGCTGAAGGGATACTTATTATAGCAGATTCATCAAGTGGACATATGCGAAAATGCTTTGAGGAAAATCACGAAAAAATCTCGTGAGTGATGAAAATTCTATACACTATCTGGGTGTGCTAAAATATATGTATATTAGAAAAAAAAAATAGCGCGTGATTTGAAATTATTTTCGGCAATCGTATAGTTATATGCTTTTCCACTCTGAGGGAGACCAGAAAAAAGCCCTCTGAAAAAGGAAAAAAAAATTCTTCCGTCTCAAAAAAATGAGTACGCATTATGGAAACAATAGATCTCAAAAAGAATTTATTCGACATGCTTTTTCATGCTTGAAAATATTTAGAAGAGAGGAAAATCCTCTGTTCTTCATATTTTTAACGCATTTTGTGAATTGTATGAGGTTTTGGCATGCAGGTGCGCACAATTTCAAATTACTGTATCAAATCTCATTAACATAATGTTCGAATCTTCTCAACTGAGTGTTTAAAATAAGGCTGTGTCCAGAAATACGCTTATGTCTGCGTTTTCTGTCCGACTGAATGACGTCAGTGGCGGAATGGAACACCGTTAATTCATAACCTTCCAGCTCTTTTGAAGTGCGTGCCAAGAAAATAAATGCAGTGGCTCGACGCTGAAAAAAAAAAAAACCTCGACAGGTTTGATTCACGATGTTGAGGACAGATTATTAAAAGTCTCACTGGAATTCTGAAGTTCAACGCAGTTCAAGAATCGGAGACCAAAATACCGCAGGAAAAGAGAAGCGACCCTGAAAAATCACTTAGTGCAAAATATAATCGTTTTCCTGGATGCACGGAATAATCCACCTCACGCCTTTTTTTTTGCCATATTTCAATTAACCTGATCCGAGATCCAGTTATTGTATGAAAAATACCGAATTATTTTATAAACAGTAGAACGACACGAGAATTAATCAAAACACCAGAATGTAATCCACTATAAGGGATTACATACTTTTTGTCTAGGCCCATTTTTTCTTGAAGCGATNTCAATTAACCTGATCCGAGATCCAGTTATTGTATGAAAAATACCGAATTATTTTATAAACAGTAGAACGACACGAGAATTAATCAAAACACCAGAATGTAATCCACTATAAGGGATTACATACTTTTTGTCTAGGCCCATTTTTTCTTGAAGCGATTTAATGTCATTGTTTTAATCCAGTGTCTAGAGTTCTTCAGTTCGTTTCAAATTGTTTTATTCCTCAATCAATAATTTCTTTAAAAAAAAGAAACGGCAGCATTCATTTTCTCAACCATCCTTAGAAAACAGCAAATCGCACATACAGTAAAACCATAAATGTTGTATCTACGTGTCGATTTATGCGTTTTTTTTCTGTGGGTGCCTTTTGGCCTGGGTAATATTTTCTGAAACTTTCTAATGTCCATTTTTTCACAAAAGTTTAAAGGAATCGGAATAGATATTCAAATATCCAATTCAAATTAATCCTGACTATAGGATATTTCTAAATGACAGGTTATCAGCATGTATTGTACTGTACAATACATTATTCTCAAAAATAAAGTGACGTCATCGCTGGTTTATCTTAATTTTTATTGAGAAGCACATCAAAGCGGATTCAGAAGATTCAAATTTTGCATTGGGAAAACAAAGGGGGTAATTATAGGAGTTATCGCCTGGGTGGTTTTTGTCTGGGTGCTTTTCGCCTGGGTGCATTTTGTGATCGGGATGAGTTTCCACTTGGAATATTTCTCTTCTTGGATTAATCCAGATTTTCTGAACGCATGGGACTGAAATAAATGGTGAATCACATCAGGTTGGATGCCTTCGAATTATCTTCGTATGATTGACAGTGCTTTTCGAAAATACAGTGAGACCCCAAGATGCGGACATAATTGGTGCATCAAGAGTGTCCCCAAGTCAAAATGTCCCTAAGTCAAGTCTCATTTTCCCTTAGACTTACATTATATAATTTTTAATTGGTGTTTTATGTACAAAATACTCACCATAATTCCATGAAAATAAAAATTGTCTCCCAATTTAAACTGATTCTGATCAATATATTTCAACACAATATGGGCATTTGGGGAATTGAATACTGATACCTCTGTACAGTACATAAAAATGTTGCCTGTAAAAATAATACTCAAGTGAAAAGGAGAGAAGGAAGTCCCTGTCTGCTGGAGGTAATTTTTTTTAATTAGCCAAATGGATGGTAAATTGGTGAGAGAAATGCTCAAGAATTTTTCTTACATCAATTTTAGGGTTGGAAATATCTATTTCTTGTAATTTGGCCTGAAATGTATTTGAAATTTTGTAACAAAATGTCCCTATGTCTGTTCTCATGTCGGGAATTTTTTATTAATTTTTTTATGATAAAATAAGTGTCTCTATGTCGAAATGTCCGCAGGTCGAGGTGTCCGTACGTGGGGGTCTCACTGTAATTCACTTTTTCAACAATTATCGAAAGAACTTCCACATGAAACATTCTGGATGGCACAGATTTGGAATCGATTTGACCTGACTTGTTTTATTGCGCGTTTGACGAGGAGAGGGCGAGGCTTGCCATCAAGAATTTGCGCGCAATATCATGAAAGAACCATTTGCTTTCTCCGTCCTCGCGTCCTTAAGTTTTGAAAGCTATTTTTATTCCTTTTGCGTTGACCCGAGGAACCAGCTGTATTTGTTGTGTTTACGTCTGCGAGAATTCCTTGGAACTGAGTCAAAAGACAGAAGCTCAAGAAGCGAGAGGGAGGTGTACACTTTATTTTATTTTTATTTTTGTAATTGTTTATTTTTATTTTTTTTTTACAAAGAAAATGAATTAAGAAGTTTGTGTCACTTTTCCAGGACGAGTCAACGCTCCTCCTTGGGAAGATAGAATTTCACTGAGTGAAGGCAGTTCTCCAAGAACATTTCTAATTCCTGCATACTTTCAACATTTTGACTGGAAAATTATGAATTATTGCCATTGTATTGGATCTGAACGAAGAGAAACCACAAAGATCATCTTTTGTACTGAGATTCACCTAAAATATTTTTTTACACTTTTGCAACAAAAGCCAAAAAACTTCAAAGGAAAAATAAACTCCAGTTTAATATCTCAATATATGTGCATGATTCTGTGTGATGAACATATGTTCCTTTGAATTTGAAGGAATTTGAAGCATTACTTGGAGTTGATTCAGAAAATATCAATGCCAAATACAGCTGTGAATGTCCACATGTTGGATCTCATTTTCTGCAGTTGTAGAAAAATTTTTAATCTCTTCTTATTTTGATTAAAATTAGAAGAAATCTCCCAGAAATTGAATAAAAGTTGTACTGTATTAATATTAAAACATAGAAAGTAACTGTGCAGAAGAAAAATTTCTTTTTTTCTGATTGTTTTCGGTGTAACTACTGTACTGTATATTCATCTTGGTAGATTCTGGATGCATTTATTGAGCAATTTATGTTTGCATTGAATCTTGTTTTTTCCAAGAGATTTGAAATAGAAAATTACTGTACAACAATTTTATGAAGATTCAAGTTACTGTACTCAAATTACTGAAATTTTATCTGCACAGGTGGTACCTTGCAATTTGACTCTAATCCATTGCCAAACTATTGTTGAAGTGCGAATTGGTCAAATTGTAAGATACTCCATAAAATTCAAAATATAATTACAAAAATGCAACAAATGGAAAACCTCGGTCAAATTGTGGGACAAGGGTCAAATTGCAAATCAACCTCCCTGAAAATTTGACTGTTGAATTTTGGAACAGTCAAATTGCAGGAGGTAAACTTGCAAGGTACCTCCTGAATAACAAATTTCTTTTTGTCTCATGGGAAGGGTCCCTGTACACATCCTAATACAGGTTCACTCTCCTGGGATTTTTTTGTGTGCCTGGAATTTTGCAGTACAGAGATTCCATCTGAGATGCGGACGTAATTGGTGCATCAAGAGTGTCCCCAAGTAAAAATGTCCCTAAATTGAGTCTTGTTTTCCCATATACTTACATTATGTAATTTTTAATTGGTGTTTTGTGGAAGAAATATTCTTCAGAATTCCCTGAAAAAAATTGTTTGCTACTTGAATTTGAATTAGTGAATACATTTTAAACTCAATAAGAAATTTGGAGCATTGAATAGTTTATCTCTGTACTGTACACTGAAGTTTTGGCATTTACAAAAATAACATTCAAGTGAAAAAAGTAGAATATTGAAGTACTCGAGGTAGTACAGATTTTTAAAAGTTATCTATGCTAAACGTGCCGTTTTTAATCAAGTATACTATGCTTCCTATAATGTAAGACGTGAAACCTAATTTTTGATGCCAAATTTTGTTGTTGAAAAAATCAATTTAGTTGTATAAGACTCGCAAGCTTGTTTATCAAATGTGCGCATTCACACCATCATTGAGCTCGTTTTTTTAAAGGAAAATGGTGGATGTCGTGCTAAAGTTAAATACCGNTTGATGCACCAATTATGTCCGCATCTTGGGGTCTC